CCTGCCTGTTTTGTTCCTCTATAGACCTGTCAACAAAGGTAATACCAATGGAATAAATTGGAAAGTGGCACCATGAATGTGAGGTTGGCTGTGTGGCAGGAAATGGCGGTAGTGGTGAGTTGTTATTTTCAGCTTGGAGGAAGGTATGGTTCCCCAGGTGTCACTACAATGATGTACATTAATGATCAAATTAAAATATAAATGAAAATAAACTCCACCGTGTCTGTGCACATAAAATCCCCAAAATGCTACAGCTTTATCTTTTCATGAAAAAAGATGTTACATTCGCAAATGCAAAAAGGCAAGGACACTTCCTGCAAGCGACCCTCCCGCCAAGTCACACACCATCTGACTTGGAACTGTATCAACATTCCTGGGTCAAAATCCTGAAACTCCCTTCCTAATAGGACTATGGGTGTCCCGCACGCTCCAAAGACTGCAGTGGTTCAAGAAGGTGACACATCACTGCTTTCTCAACAGCAATTAGGAGTGGACAATAAGTGCTTGCTTATCCAGCAACACCCACATCCCATGAACAGATAAATTTAAACAAAATTGCAATCCTGTGCCAAAGTTTCATTGTTTGAAAATTTGTGCTTAGAGCTGGTTTCTGCAATACACACCCTGATTTTGCTCAACATCACATAATCACATCCACCTTCATTTCCACCCTATTCAATCCTATTCTCATACCAATAGCTATTCTAATTCTAAATCTAATTCCTGCACCTCTTATGATCTTTCATTCCCACCACCACATTCTTTGATAAATATTGAGAAAAAACCCGTAAGTAGTGTTTCCAACAATCTTTTTTTTGCCCTATCTCATGTGTGATTCCTTTCCTTGTGTGATCAACACTGACCGTTCCTTAATTATTTTACTCAATTTATGTTTGGAAAGTACTATAAAGAAAAACTCACATTAAAATGGCACATTTCAGGACAGGCATATTTGTGTTCAGGACACCCCAAAGTGCTTTACAGCCACTAAAATATTCTGCAATGTGGCTACCATTGTATTGCAGTGAATGTAGCAAGCAATCTCAATACACAACAAAGTTCCACTGACAGCAACTTGACAATCACTGGTTAATTTGTTTTTGTAATGTTTGGTAAGGGGTCAATATTGGCCTGGATATTGAGAACCTCCCTGCTCCTCTTCAAATGGTGACTTGGGAAATTTTATAACCATCTGAGAGGTGAGACAAGGCATTGGTTTCATGTCTTTTAGTGTAATTATAGCAGTTCTGATAGCGCAGCACTCACTTTGTACTGGATTGGAAGTGTCATCCAAAACTACTTGCTCAAGTATCTAAAGGGGAACATGAAGTTATGGCCTTCTGTCTCAGATGCTGGACTATTTTTCCTCCAATTTTCACCTTAGTGTTTCTTATCTAATTTTGTTGTATTGCCTCTACATTTTCTGTATTTGGGTAGGTTTTATTTTAAATTATTATCCCAATAATTTTCTTTCTTTTCTTCATTTATCCACATTTTCTTCCTGCTGAGCAATGTCTGATCTGTATTGGAGTCATCTCCCTATTGTACATTTCCTGGTGTACTTTACACCCTGCCCATTCTCCTACCAATTTATCTCGTTTAATTCCATTCAATTCTCATTAATATTGGCTTTTGCCTCAGTTAAACATTTTGATCGTTGGCTGCTCCTTCATCTTTCCAACTTTCAATTCAAGCTTGTATTTTCAATTGGTTCTTACCTACATGTACCCCTACCCTCATCTTACCAAATTGTTTCACTTCAACTTGTTAGTTTGTTTGTGTGTTTGTTTAATTGCAACAAAAAGAGAAAATGTTGTAACTGCACACAAGAAATTTAGCATTTATGAATAAATAAGACTTGGCTGATACAGAGGCTAAGTGACCTGCTGTGTATTTCTAACACTTTTTGTTTTTAGCTTACATTTTCAGCTTTTACAATTTCCTTTTCTTTAGCAAAAATAAAGATAGAAAACATAAGAATATTCAATAATGTATAAACTTCAGGTTTATGATTGTTCATCAAAACAACATATTCAATTTAACCTGCCACAAACTCAGTTTCACAAATTCTGAATTGTTAAAGAAAGAAAATAACTGCATCTATGTAATATTTTCAGGACCACATGAGCTCTCAAAATGCTTTACAGGCAATAATGGTACGTTATTCAAAAAGGGTGGTAGGGATAAACCAGGAAACATCAGGCCAGCATGTCTAACTATTTGAAAACATTCTGAGGGACAGAATTAATCTCCACATGGAGAGTCAAGGTTTGCCAATACAGCTTTGTCAAGGTAAGATAATGTGTAACAAATTTAATTACGTATTTTGAGGAGTTGACTAGGTGTGTAGATGAGTAATACTGTTGATATAGTCTACATAGACTTCAATAACTCTTTTGACAAGGTCTCGCATGGCAGACAAATTAAGAAGCTAAATGTCCATGGGATCCAGGGCAATTTGATAAATTGGATCCAAAATTGGTTTAGTTGCAGGAAGCAATGTTCGTAAGGGCAATAAGTTCATAAATGACACAAATGGTGTGGTAAATACCAAGGAGCAAAGCTTTAGTCTGCAGGATAACATACACAGCTCATCAGATGAGCTGAACAGTGACAAATAGAATTTAGTCCTGAAAAATGAGATGATGCATTTTCAAACAAATAACAAGGTGACAGAGTACAAGTTGAACCCTCGGAAGTACAGAGCAACAGAGACACCGTAAGGGTATCTGTACCTAGATCCTTGAAGGCAATAGGGCAGTAAAGATAGATAAGGCATATGGATTTTAGCCTTTTTTGAGGCATTGTATACAAGAGCGAGGAGGTGATGATGGAGGTGTGTAAAACATTAATTAGGTCACAACTGGAGTGCTGTGTGCAGATCTGTGTGCTGCATGAGAGGAACGATCTCATTGCACAGGGTGCAGAGAAGATTCACTAGGACGTTGCCTGGGCTGGAGTGATTCAGCTATGAAGAGAGGCTAGATAGGCTGAGGTTGTTTTACTTTGAGCAGAGAAGGCTAATGGGAGACCTAATAGAGGTGTTACAAAGTTATGAGGGGCATAGATAGGAAGAAACTTCTCCCCTTAGTAGAGGGACCAATAACCAAAGAGCTTAGAAATAAGGTATAGGGCAGGAGGTTCAGAGGGGTTTTGAATTTATGTTCACATCTCGAGCAAACACCTAAAATAGTGGTACAGGTGGGAACTCTCACAACTTTTGAGAAACATTTGGATGAGCAACTAAAACACCTTAATATAAAAGGCTACGGGCCAAGTGCTGAAAAATGGGATTGGATAGGTGTTTAAAGTTTTCGAGAAGATTTGTAGCTTGGGTTTTGGTTCAGGTTGTAGACACATTTGCCAAGCCAGTGGGTTTGGTTGCAGATGTTTCATCACCCTGCTAGGTAACATTGTCAGTGCAATTCTGGTGAAGCATTGGTGTTCTGTTCCAGTTGTTATTTATATGCCTCAGTTTGTTGGGTAGTTTGGTACCACTTCTGGTTCTGTTTCTCAGTGGTTTGTACACCGCGTCTAATTCAATGTGTTTGTTGACGGAGTTCCCGTTAGAATACCAGGTCTCCAGGAATTCCCTGGCGCATCTCAGTTTGGCTTGTGCCATTATGGATGTGTTGTCCATCGTTGTCAATGTGTAGTCAAACAAGTGAGAAATGGTTGTGTCTCTTGGTGGCTAGTTGGTGTTTTTGTATCTGTATTGTCAGTTTTCTTCCGATTTGGCCTGGGTCGTGTTTCTCACAGTCCTTGCATGGTATTTTGTATATTACACCAGTTTTGGGTATGGGATCCTTTATGTTTGTCAGCAGCTGTCATAGGGTGGTTGTTGGTTTCTGGGCTACTTTGATACCTAGGAGTCTAAGTAATCTTGTGGTCATCTCTGAAACATCATTGATGTACAGTAGGGTGCTAAGTGAGTCTGGTTGTGTTGTGACTTCCTGTTGTGGTCTGTCGGCGGATTGTGCTTTTTGGGTATCCAATCCTTTTGAAGACTCTGTATAGATGCTCCTGTTCTGCTTTGTGTAGTTCCGGGTTGCTGCAATGTGTTGTACGAAACAGTATCCTGACGCAGCTTTGTTTATGGGTGTTGGTATAATTGAGTATCTGGTCCATATGGGTGGTCTTTCTGTAAACACAGGTCTGGAGTTCCCCATTGTGTTTGCGTTCTACCATTATGTCACTTTACTGATTATGGACAGTAGACTTCCGAGATTAAATTGTTCTTTTATTGACCAAGTCCAACGTTTCACTTTTTGACTAAACACGTCTGGCGACAGACTCTCCATTGGATATAGCCACGACGTTGCCTTTCCCTCCGGAGGTACGAGGACCCGAAAAAAGACGGCACAGCTTTACACATGCGCATTGTGGCTCAGAACCCGGCGGCCTGCGCCGTTGCCAGTAGAGGAGACGCCCACCGTCAGGGACGAGAATACACATGCGCGAAACTGGATATCCAGCGCAGGCGCAAAGCTGGTCGGCTCCGCGTTTAAATCAAAAAGCGCGGTTGGGGGGGGAGGTAAAGGCCCTGGGAGACGGTTGAAGGGTTCGGACGGCGTGACGTCAGCGCATGCGTAGATAGGGTCTATCGAGGGGTGGAAATTGGTTAAGGATGGGGGCGGGTCCTCAATAGAGGTGGTAAAATCAGAAGTAGCTGGGAAAATTCGGTAGGTCTGGCATCACCTGTGAAGAGAAAGTAGAGTTAACGTTTCGGGTCCGATGACCCATCTTCAGAACTGGAGCCTTGACTCCACAGGTGCTGCCAGACCTGCAGAGTTTATCCAGCAATTTCTGATTTCCAGCACCGCACTTCTTTGGTTTTCCCTTTGGAGTGGAGTTGGGGGTCTGAGGAGGACGGGCTAGAGGGATTTAGAATGGGGCCGAGGAATTTGGGCGGGCGGGGTCTGAGGCGGGTAGGGCGGGGTCTAGGGGGTGAGAAAAGGTCGAAGTTTGGTGCGACGGACGCGCATGCGCCAGTAGCAGTGGGTGAGGCAGAGACAGTGGCCAACCGTAAGTGGGTGGTTTCTGTTGGTGACAGCAGCAGCTTTATTAACAACATTATCATCATCATCATCGTCAGCAGTAGCGGCAGCAGCTCGATCCAGTCGAGGTCATGGAACGCCCGGCGCGTTTTAAATTTTAACGGCCGGCCCCGCGCGCGCCGCCGAGCGGCCAGAGGAAGTCCAGGGCTGGTGGACTGACCGAGCACCGGGGCGGCGTCACCGCCACCGCGGTCGTGGTCGTAGCCGCCGGCGTGGAGGCCGAGGGGACGGACGAAGGGTTTTGGGCCCCAGCCATGGACGAACACCCGGGAGCCGGGGTGTTCTTCGGCAATAACTCAGTGCTGAGCGGAGGAGGAGGAGGCCCGGGGATCGGGAGCAGGAACCTGCAGCCGGCGCAGCAACCGGGGCCCGAGGGGGAAGCTCAGAGGCCGCAGTACAACATTCCGGGGATCCTGCACTTCCTGCAGCACGAGTGGGCCCGCTTCGAAATAGAGAGGACGCAGTGGGAGGTGGACAGGGCCGAGTTGCAGGTAAATAACGCACCCCTAGGCCAGGCCGCGCTTCATGCTTGGATGCTCGATTGCTGACCTCCTCCCCCTTGATCAACAGGTTAAGGGGGTGGTGGATATGTTAAGATGGCCGCCTGTCAAAAGAAGGAAGGAGAAGGTACTGTTGATTTTTCTTCAAAGACCCTCATCTTTGTAGCCCTTCCCCAGTGACGATGACACTTTAAATCAGAGGAGCTTTGCATCGTTGCTGCAAATGCAGTGTGTGTAAAAAATGCCTTCAGTAATATTCTTAAACGGAATTGGGCAAGTTACTTGCAGGGGAAAGTTTGTAGGACCTTGAAGAAAGAGCAAGTGGGTGGTATCATTTGAGTTCTTTCAAAGAGCCAGGACAGGCGCGATGGGCCGAATAGACTCCTCGGTGCAGCCTGATTGTATGGAATGCTCCAGAAGAAATATGACCAGTTAATAGGCCAGGATTGTCTGTAATTAAAGGAAGCAAACTTAAGATAGTCAAGAGCACCAGGGGGACGAAGAGATTTTTCTTGAGACAGCCATTTATGATCTGAATGCAAGGAGAGGAAGAACAGATTTAGTAGTAGTGGCAATCAGCTAAATACTGGGAGAATGGGGAATTGCAGAGGTATGGCTCAAGACCAGGGAGTGGAAACAACTAGATAGCTCTGTCAAAGAATTGGAAGCGGAATGATGTGTTGTGTTGGGACAACTGCACGGTTAAACAATCACGCACTCCCGGCTTACTGCTCCATCTAATAGCCTTTACCCTCACCGGTCCTGGTGATCCAGCCCGTATGAATTGATCTACATTAACTTGCATCAGCTAGAATGTTGGTGGTTTCTTGAGCAGTTCTAAAGGGCATTGATTTAAATTGGTTGTACCGGAGCAAGATTCGGTATTCTGATTGAGGGGATCAGGAAGAAGGGAGTCACCTTTGGCCTCATTAGAGATTTATATATCCATGATTTAGCAATCTTTGCTCAGTGTTTTGTGTTGTTATCTATCAATGAATCATTGTAACCAAAGGTTACACAACGACATTCCAAAAGAAACAAAGCTGTTCTGAATAGCTTAATGTTCTTTGTATAGTCTAAAGGATTCCCCATGACGTATCAGGACAAATATTGGAGTTTTTGATCATTACACATCAACCAGAGCACCTTCTTAAAATTACAAATAAGTTTATTTTGGGTGAAGTTATAGTAATTTACATGCCTTGGTCAAGATTTGTGTGACGTTTCTGAATTTGGTGTATCTTATGGCGTATCATCATGCCTAATATTATAGTTCAAGACTGCATTTCAACAACTTGCATTGTGTCTTGAGTGTAACTTTTTTTGATGTTTGATAGAGGTGTTAGGAGAAATTGACAAAATTGCAGAAAGGCTTGGCAATCTGTTGTAAAGAATGATACAATAAATCTTTTCTCCATTATTATAATAGGATAGGCCCAAAGTGGAGATCGTTGTTGGATGTGTACCTTGTGAGCTGTCTGCCATTTACGTATTATCAGGGAGTAACCATGGGATACTGTTCATGCAGCTGGTTCTATTAATATTTCTATTGCATTGTTTTAGGAATCCACAGGATATGAAACACTCCCAGCATTTTTATTTGTATAAATTAACGTTAAACCAAAATGAAAGCTTGAAATATAATTTACTAAGCTGAATGTTCTATGGCCTTGGCACTTCAGCATTCATAACCTTTAGCCTATGAAATCTGAATTCTTGAATTACCTATCAACTCAGCATGTGGAAGTATTTCTTCTGAAAGCTACCACTTTCAGTACCTTTAACATGTCCCCACTGCTTTCCTGTTGCTGATTTCCCCCTTGAGTTCCTCTGACTTTGGTATTGAGGCTAGGATTCTGTAAACAATTGTCTCATTGACATGTTGGTAAAGTGCTTACTACAACAACTAATGGCTACTTGAACTTATATAGAACCTTTTAATATAGTTAAGCATTTCAAGGTGATTTGCAGGAGCGTTGTTAAACAAATACTTACCCTCATGGGGATATTAGGATAGATGGCAACAAGCTTGGTCAAAGAAGGAGCATCTTAATGGAGGAGAGAGAGAGGTAGTGTACTTTAGGGAGGGAATTCCAGAGACTTAGGACCTCTGAGATATACCACAGGCCACAGTTTTGAATTACTGCATATTTAAACAGGGTAAAAAGTAGAGCTATGATTGCAATGTATTGGCAAAATATAGAAGTAACAAAGGCATGAGGGTTTCAACAGAACGTGAGCTCAATTAGGCGATGTTACAGAGTTGGAAATAAACAGTTGTATTGACGGTATGGCTATGTAATTGGAATCTCACCTCCTGTTAAAATGACAGGTTTACAGATAGTCTGGTTCAGACTCGGGCAGCTGTTTGGGAAAAGATTGGAGTTTTTGGTGGATCAAAAACAGTAACCATGCTGCTTCTAATAAATTATAAATTTCAATCTTACTGTAACTTTACAAGGTGCTAATGAGACCGTAGCTGGTGTACTGAGAGTAGTTTTGGTCCCTTTATTTAAGAAAGATATCATTTCATTGGAGGCAATTCAGGGAAGCTTCACAAGGACAATCCTGGTATGGAGGGATTGTCTTATGAGTGAAGGCTAAATGGCTTGGGACAAACATGCAATTTAGAAGAATGAAGGATGATCTTTTGAAACTTACAGGATTCTTAAGGGGCCTGACAGGGTAAATGCTGAGTGTTTTTCCTCATGGGAGAGTCTAATATTAGAGTGCATAGTCTCAGAACAAAGGGGTGCTAGTTTAAGACTGAGATGAAGAAGAATTTCTTGGGGTTGAGAGTCCTTGGAACTCCTTGTCATGGAGAATTCTGTCCCCAGAGTCCTTGTGTATATTTAAGGCTGAGATTGATTCTTGACCAGTAGGGGAATGAAGGGTTATGGGGAAAATGCAGGAATATGGATGTGAGGAGTGTCGGATCAGCCGTAATCCTATTGAATAGCAGAGCAGGCTTGTGGTTTTGAACAGCTTATTCCTGCTCCTATTTCTTGTGATCTTATAAATCCTGCTATCTGTGGCCCTGTTTGCAATGAGATCATTGATTAATCCAATACCAGATCTAGTATAAGTTGCTTTCTGATTTGCTGCAGAATGTGCTTTTTGTAGACACTATCCTGAGACAAGCCTCTCACCTACGTGACCTTCGACCATCTGATTTTTTTTCCAGTTTACTTGTGAATAACACATCCTTGTGATTATTGCTGTACTTTTCCGACAAGCCCCTGTTATTTCTTCCTTCATACTCCATCTTCCCTGTGGTTACTATTGGTGGGCCTGGACAATGTTGTCTCAAGTGAAAATTTGTCTTTGTAATTTCACATTTCTACCCAAACTACTTCTCCATTCTGGTTTCCTGAACTTGGGTCATCTGTCTTATTGTGATAATACCATCATTAAATAACACAGCCACCTCTCCACTTTTTTTGTTGTTTCCTCTACTTTCTAAGTTTCATACACCGTTAGTATTCCGGTCCTGTTCCAAGTCATCCTGCTGCCATGTCCCTATAGTAGCCATCAGATTGTCCTAATTTATTTCATCCATTTTGTTTCAAATGCTACATGCATTCAGATACAGAGCCTTTACTTTTGCCATTTTGTTTTTTGTAGCCTCCAGCCTTGTATGTTTTTTAGACTTATACTGTCTATTCCTTCCTATTGCAGTTTATCATTTTCCATACAAAGAGATTTCTCTCTTGGATTGCCTTTTTTTTTTTAAACAATATATTCTTAAATTTGATCCCTTGCTCCCATAAGAAATAGAAACAGGCTGTTTGGCCCCTCAAACCTTCTCTGCTATTCAAAGCATCGTGGCTGACCCGACACTTCTCACTTCCACTTTTCTGTTTCTTCATAACCTTTGGTTCCCCTACTGATCAAGTGTCTGTCTGTCCATCCATCAAATATACACCAGGAGTCTGCTGCCATAGGTCTCTGTGGCAAGGAGTTCCAAAGAGACTCAAATTTAATCTCATCTCAGTCATAAATTGACACCCCTTAATTCTGAATCTGTCTTTTAGTCTTATACTCTCCCATGAGGAGAAACATCCTCTCAGCATTTATTCTGTCAGGCCCCATAAGAATCCTATATGTCTCAATAAAACCCCTTTTCATTCATCTAAACTCTAGTGAGTAGCATCACAACTTGCTTAATCTGGCCTCATAAGACAGTCCCTTCCTATTGGAGATCATCTTAGTGAACCTTCTCTGAACTGCCTCCAATGAAATAACATCTTTTTTAAATAAAGGGACCGAAACTGCATTGAGCTTTTCCAGCAACTTTGTTTTTGTTCCTGATTTACAGCATCCACAGTTCTTTGGTTTTTTTTTTAAACAGGATGTTGCCTGGAATGGAGGGAAGGTCTTACGAGGAAAGGTTGAGAGAGCTAGGGCTTTTCTCTTTAGAACGAAGGATGAGAGGTGACTTGATACAAGTGTACAAAATGATCAGCGGTATAGATAGAGTGGACAGCCAGCGACTTTTTCCTAGGGTGGAGGTAGCTATTACGAGGGGGCATAATTTTAAAGTGAGTGGAGGTAGATATAGGGGAGACGTCAGAGGTAGGTTCTTTACTCAGTGAGTGGTAGGGGCGTAGAATGCATTGCTGGAGAGGGTAGTGGAGTTGGCCTCATTAGGGGCATTTAAGCGGCTATTAGATAGGCATATAGATGATAGTATAAGGTATGGGTGGAGGTTAGATAGACCTTAGGTTTAGGGTAAAAGTTCGGCACAACATCGTGGGCCGAAGGGCCTGTTCTGTGCTGTACTGTTCTATGTTCTGTGTTCTATGTTCAGTACTCCATATGTGGTCTCACTAGCATCATGAACAGTTGCTGTAAGACGTCCCTTGAAATACAGGCCAACATTCCAATAGCATCCAGATTGCTTGCTGCACCTGTGCTAGCATTGTGTATTGTACATTGTAACCTTTTGTTTTGCAGCTTTTTTCAGTTTTTAATCCATCAGTAATACTGTT